ACAATTAGCTTTTGACCACAACATAAAGCAAGTAAAAATACCTACACTAGCTTACTTTAATTGCCTGCAAGAAAGAGTTACCAGGAGGAGCTTGTCACTGTCAAATTAAATGCTGAATCAATGGACCAAAGCTTTCATGGACCGTCAGTCACTACTGTGCTGCCGGATGTTATCTCTTGTGCCAGTGGTTGCCCAAATGGCCTTTGTTGGAGACTAAGAAATCTCATTTCCTTAGATTTATGCTTAAAATGCTACGAAATGTTTCCAATTTGATAGACACGAAAGGCTGTCTTCTCTCTCTGCATTCTCATGGTTGATTCTTCAATTTGATGTTGGAAATTTTTTTTCAAGATCTTCTTTCAATTTTTCCACAAATAGATTCTTGTGTAGCCCCTTTATTTTTGGCTAGTTACTCTTCTTTTTGGTAGTAAAACTATTTAGTTTGAGGCTTGGTTGTGCATGTGAAGAAAAATCAGTAGATTTTTTATTTTTTTTTTAGAGTATATAGCATTTACCAGCCATTGTTTGAAAGGAATTAAGATGAAGATGATGGATGTTATGAACGACGTCAATGTTGAACAAATTAGCTTTACTGGGGTTGAAGTTCGACTCTTTTTTTTTTCCTTCACCTTTCATTGATGTTTTCTTCTTCCATTGACCGAAAATAGCCATTTCTCATGGCAGAGTTTTCAACCCAAGTTTCTTCAACCCATTTCCAGTTACTGCCTTTTATTCTTCTTTTCTCTGGTTGTTGTATCGCTATCTTTGCCTCTTTTTGAGTAGAAAAATTGACCGAAATAACGGAATTTTTCGGTGGCCTTTTTGTACATGGCATAACATGGTTAGTACTATTTCCCACAGACGGTACCAATCTGTTAACCTCAAAAAATGCACCAACAGAATCCTGACCTCGTTCCCTCCAAATCTGCACACGAAACACCCCGTTAGGCTGCAAAGGTCGCCAATCGAGAAAAATGTCCGACGACCGTTTGCACTCCGACGGTCAAGCTAACGGCCGGGCGAATAGAAAATAAAGAGTGCTGAGACTGGAAAGGGGGTTTGGTTCAAATTTTAGAATGTACCTTATGATGTGAGTGAACCCACATATATAGAAATGCAGGTGGGCCAGACGGGTTAAAGAAATGGGCTAAGTCCAATGAGGCCCAATATGAAATATGTATAACAATAGTCCCCCAAGTCTGAGTCGTATTATTTATATACGGGTCGGACTTGAAATATGAACTTTAAAACAGGTGATGCCCCATCGGCCATTGTGGGACCCCCTCCGTCATGCCTATGCCACGTAATTTTTTGATATAACACGTTCGATATTGCTCAAGAGAGTGTGTTGGATAGATTTAGGAGCATTGATTCTTCAATAATTAAGGACAAATACAAAGTAAAAGCATGAAACAGGGTAATCGGACTCTCCTGATCAATATGGAGGTAGTAGTGGGAAGCTGGGACCTACTATGCCATCTCCTAATGGTGGAGGAGATCTCCCAGCTATCTCATCATCTCAGACTACTAGGCCAGCTCTGTCTGGATGGCTCTCATCACATTACTCTACTTCTTAACCTCTACCTCCAAGCTGCGTATATGATCCCACGTCTCATTAACCCTCAGCTGGATACCATCCACTTAGCCCACATACATACTCAGTCGACTATTCATGGTGTCAACATCTCTTTTTGCTGCCTGGGCATCTCTGTTAGCATCTAGTGTGAAGTTTTAGGTACTGTAAAGGTTATCTCGTACCCGCTGTAAGTCGGTGGTCGTGGCCCTAAACGCTTGCTAAAGCTCTGAATATCTCTGCTGGAGCTTGTCATGGTAGCGAATATCTGTCTTAACAGCTGTGTTTCCACGTCAGCCTGTAGTGATGGAGCTTGTGGCATCTCTATATCATCATGTGCTTGGCTGAGCTCGACTCCTTGTGCCTCTCTCTGGCTTTGTCTTGAACCTCCAATGTAGTAAGCTTTATCGATGGGCTGGGTTTATTAGGCTCCTCCCCTGATGGGATAGTGACACCCACATCCCTACATGTGCCGTTGATGAGGCTTGGGAAAATCAATAAGCTATGCCGATCTCTCCAAGCACCCAAATTTTGTATTTGATCATAGATATGTGTGGCGAGATCAATCTTTTCTCCCAAACCAAATGATATATGAACTCGATAGTTGGATTGGTGAATATTGTCTTGTGCATGGTAGGATCAATGTTGTGGCACATAAAAAGCCATAGGAAGGCTATGGACGGTGTGAGCTCGATCTGGTGCCATTTGGTGGTTTGGAGATGTCCCGCATTTTCACACCCCAGTAGAATCTCTGCCACTTCATTCCTATTAAAATTTCCTGGGATAGGGACCGCATTGTTCCAGGAGAGTTGATAATAGTCATGGATGACTTCCAGTGAAAACATTATCCACTTTCCCCTAACCCATGTTTGATATAAGTGTTTAGAGCCCGGTATGTCAATGTCGATGTTGAAGTATGCATAAAATTCTCTGACCACACCATCATAGATGGGGTGTGGTCGCTCTACATTTTCTCCCATCCAAAAATTTCGACCAATGTAGTCAATTTGAACCCTTGGAAGTCATCTGATTTGATCGGTCTTTTTGGGAGCAATGCCCATCGGCTTATGATGTTTTCATATCGAGTTGATATTTCTGGACTTAAAAACCTCTATACACCCCTTTCAGGCTCTTTGGTCTGGTATGCGTGGTGCTCGATGAAGAGC